CCGCTGTCCCCAGGAGCCCCTCCCTTGTTTGATGAATCCCGGTCCCTCCGATGGGGGGGGCCCCCCCCCCCCCCCCCCCCCCCCACACACACACACAGGAAGCTCATTCAAACGAGCAAACCAACTTAATTCTGTATCTGACCATGAGAGCAGTGTGTGATCTAAAAAACGCTCATTTATTCAGAAGATGAAAGAAGTGGGTGAGGTCTAAAACTTTTTTTTTTTGCAGATGAACCACATCTGAAAGTCCAACATTCATCAAAGACCTGAACCAGGACCTGAGAGCTGCATCATCATCCAGTTTTCAGGATCACCTTGTTGGACCTGAAATCCTGTTTCTGGTCAGACTGAAGATCTTTGGTGGTCTTTGTGAATCCAACAGAGCCAGACCATGTCTCTGTGACACAGAGAGACTAAAGATCACATTTAAACTTAGTCCAGCTGTTGGTTCTGGGTCTACAAGGTTCTGCTCAACCCGTCAGTTTAGGAACCTTTTTCTGTCTGAATGAGGTCAGAGCTCAAAACATTTCTCTGAAAAGGTTCAAGAACAAGAACTGAACCCGAGAGAACTCAGGAAGAGCTTCAGGAACCACTTTAAAAGGAAGTCCGGAGAACTGCTAATCCAGAACCAGGCAGTCTGGAGAACTGTTTTAAAATGTTTTATTTTTAATCAAAGGATTTACATCCAACATTCATACATTTAACAAGTTAAATGTAGTTAGCTTTATCATTAAGAGCTACATTTTTATTAATATTTGTTGTTTAAAAGGTAAAATGTCTATTTTTCAATATCAGCCACCTTTATGCTTAATAACCATAACTTTTCATAAAAGTAAAAATTTTTACTCTTACTGTGTAACCTGATATAAAAGTCACAAAGAAGTAATAAATCCTAGCCCGTGCGCTCCAGTTTGGGAAATTAAATCCATTTGAGTCAGAGCAAAGTATCTCAATAATCTCCGTAATCCACTTTGAGAGAATATTTGATGCTGGTAGAAAAATCTGAACTGGGGCTGAGGAGGGGTCACGCATGTGACCCTGCAGGGCCCATCTGACCAAACAAAAGGGATTTCAGTCCAGACAGACCAGGTTCTTCCCTCGGGGGCGGCCATGTTTCCCAGGGAGAGGAAGAGGAGAAACTAAACTTTCTGCCTCCTGACAAACAGCTGCAGACTCTTAAAATATGACATTCACCAGCTATATGTTTGGTTATATGTCTTATATACGTATTATATTGCATATACATATTTATGGTTATAGAACAGCAGGTTCTTTTAATCTTAATGTGGTGTTTAAGTCTGTCAAAGTTGAGTTCAAGTGCTTCAAGCTTTGTTCAGAAAACCAGATTCAAGTGAGCGCAAAGTTTTAGTCAACAGATAAAAGACTAAAACTATATTTTTATGTCCAAACATGCATTTGTAGTTGTTTTACAGCATAATAACAAACGCTTTGATGATTCTGTGTAATAGTTAACAAAAGACAAAAGGATCAGGAAATTTTTGACACGCATTTTTGAAAACTGTCCAATTATGATGATTGGAAATGTGTAAAAATTTAGACAAAAGGCTGTAATTAAAGATCCACAATGGATATTATGAAAATCAAGGTCAAAGGTTATTCACTTGGCACATATTTTAACTGATGCATCAGGACCTAAGGGGGTGTTTCTTAACGTTATTGTCTGCTGGGATGTCCCATATATATACATATATATATATATA